CGCCGAGATAGTCGCGGCTGCTTAAGGCCTATTTAAACTGGCTATCCCTTGGTGGACGCAGCATGGGCCACTATAAATGACACCCCCCACGGGTAATACAAAACACCGCAATTGGACATCACTTGAACTTGTTCCACAATAATATTAAACTACTTGCCACCACTCTTTTTCTTTCGGGTCTGATTAGACACAGTCAGTACTGCTGCCTGAGAAAGCAATTTGGGGTTCTGTGCACAATATGCCCTCACTCTGGTGATTTCCGTCTTTTCCACCTTACTTGGCATTTGGCCTGATGATTTAGAGCTCCAAAGGCGAACACAGCCTTGACGCTACAGTGCGTTGTGGACAACGCAGTCAGTGGTAGGACGCCTGGCTCAAAGGCCAAATGAGCCTGGGCTCGGATATCGAGTTCCGCAGGCCTGAGGTTAGTTGGAACATGGTCGACTGAGGACGTCAAATTAATCGAAATGACCGCTACAGCCTTATTCCTGGGTAACGTACCTAGATAGTCTGTTCGCTCGGAACGAAGGCAGCAATGAAAGTGTGGTTAAGAAAGGAGCAGTTGGTAGCAGTGTGGCTTACACTCTGAGGGCTTTCAGGCCAGAAACAGGGCATATCTTCGCTGGAGAGTACGAAGATGAAGGGCGAATTCTTGTCCCAGACCATCTTCCAAAAGTCCACCTCTGTAGACTCCAAGGGCTGTTGAGCGATAATAAACTCGCTCAGGTTCCGGTAGCCCTGTACAATAGAGGCGTTGATGTAGGAAGATCCATCCACTCCGGGCTCGCTGGGTAAAGTTACACGTCTGGTGTCGGCTGGTAATGAGACGGGGAAAAGTGGTCATCAGATAATGTTTATTGAGTTGGGCAGTTGGAGGTGACTATACACAGCCGGTCGCAGACACACGCGAGCGCACACATGCATGCAACGCAAGTTTCCCTTTGAAAAGATAGCTTGACACCAAGAAGGTACACGTGCACATAGTCGTGTTAAAATGTAGTGCTTACTCGGCACGATGTCAGAACGATTTTTCGGCAAATTGCAGGCTTTCCTGGCTTCCGTGAACTCGTAGTCCCGAGGGATCCTTTCGGTGCAGATCTGAAAGCAGAAATCGAAGAAGTTAAAATTTGGAGCAGGACTGGAGACGATGTCGTGGGGATCGGCTATAGGTGGATCTGGCGGTGGAAAGATCCAAATACAGTAATTTTGCTAAAACTCTGGTCAATGACCCTATACCCAGAGCGGTCTGACGACTAACAACAGGAAAAACAACGGTCAGGTCCACCCAGAATGGTGGGCTGCTTGTTAATGCTCACGGATTGAAGGCAAGTGTCATTCGTAAAACTACCCCCAGAAGTTTGCGAATATTTTCGAGTGCAACCGGTAATACGCGAATTTGCCGGCTGAAGGGGCTGGTTCGGTCGATGACTGGTCAGATTAATGTTCAAGTCTACAGTAGGTTTGGCCTGCGGTTGAGTTGTGGCTATGTGGAGATAGCTAATATACCAGAAATGACAATCCCAGCCCCCCTTGAGTTGTCAGTATTATTTCTTTAAAGGTATTCCTTTTATGCTAGGAGAGCCCAA